CTTGGCATGCCTTGCACGCTCCTTTCCATTTGCAGCGAGGACGAATGCTTCGTCAGCCTCAATAGCCCCGCTTTGATGTAGCCGCGCCGGGGAGGCGAAAGACCCCGCGTTCGGTTTGGCGTGCTTCACGCGAGCTATGGACGCGCGAATGAGCATACTGGGGATGGACTCAAATCCGTTGTCTTGGAGTAGGCTGACTTGAGGCAGGTGGTAGGTGGACCGACGGTAGCGGCAGGTACGATGATACAACGAGTTGCGTGCTGTACGAAGCAGGCTCGGAGAACACGATCGAGACGAGACGCATTATATGATCTTGCCATGCGAGTGCACATCTGAGAGCCCCCGGGGCGACGAACCAAGGCACGGAGAGAGACAAGCTGGATCGGCTTCGGCCGACGGCGGTCGCGCGCGACATCGGAGTCGCTCTCTCGGCCAGCTCCACACGTCAAGATGTCCGCATTGCAAGTCAGATCAATGACTTGTGTCTCACTGGAGGGGAACGGGGATGAATATGAGCAAAACTAGAGATGATGTCGATGTTCGGTGGTCAACAGCGTGAGTGTTTGAGTATGTGCTGGTTGACGACGTTCGTTTGTTCACTCGGCCTCAGCAGTGCGGAACGTCTCATCCGGCCGGGCGATGTCGAGTCTCCATCCCGCTTCCTCTGGTCCTCGATGGACCACGCGTCTCTCATGCTGCGCTCGAGACTAAGAGCTCATCCAGCAATGCGCCGACCTCAGGATTCGAACACCTCCGTCGCCTAGGGCCATCCCGAAGAGCAACGACGTCCGTCCCCTCACCTCACACCACCGCGTCTCATCTCCCTCTTCTTTCGCCATCGGCGCTATGATCCAATACGATAAACTGCATCGGCCATGAAGCAGGGCATACGCTAGCCCGTGTACCTGATCCTCGCGACCACGCCTCACGGCTCCTCAAACCACTCTCCGCATCGAACATCATATCCGCAAGACCGGAGCACCGTCATCACTGTCCAGCCTCCTCGTCCGCTCCCAGTGTCTCGTCGTCGTCAACTTGGTCCATCGTAATGGTGACCGGCCCTCCGAAGACGAAGAAGCTCTGACCGAATGGGCCCAGTCTGGCAATGTCATCGAGCTCGCTATAACCACGACCACCGTGCCGGATATGCCGGCTCTCGGATTGGCATACAGACCTGAGGTGTATCAGGTGGGAGGATGACGATATCGCCCAGCATGGGTAGCCCGAGTATGCATGTCGGCGCTTCCAGCCCCGGTCAGCCTTTCCTCTTCAATTTCCAACTCTATTCGACCCGAAGTTCACGCATGCTGACGAGCGCATATATGCACTATTTCTGTAGCCTACCTCACGACAACAAACTTGATCTGCTCCACCTTGGCCCACTCTCCGCCAACACACCAACCTGCCAATCTGCGGAAGTACCATACCCTGCCAACTCGTCCAGTTCTTCGACGTTGACGCGATCGTCCGAAGAACCGCGATCAAGGTGCGCGATTTCCCTCGTACCTCTTTCTACGCTTGTATACGCTCTTGGTGTATCTCCGTCGTTTGCATCGGTCGCCCTTACTCTACCGTATCTGCCTATTGATAGACGCTGATGCACGTTCACAGGCTCATACTCTACTTCCGGGAACGCGCGGATTCATGACTGCTGTTCGCGTCAAGAACCACCTGGCGCCGTACGAGGCTCACCAGGCCGACCGGTTCGTTTGCCGTCTCTCAACCTCCGTCGCGCACACCAAGATGTACGCGACTCGGAAGGATGACTCATGCCAGGCGGGATGTAAACATGGATGAGCCCGAGCAACAGATATTCGGCGGTTGCGTCCAACGTGAGTACTCTTGAGTATGTGCTGGTACACGAGTTCCCCTTACTCACCTCATGTCCACCATGCAAATCATACCGTCCAAAAGAATACCAAGCTTGCGTCGACGTTGGAGCAGTTGAGAACCCGCCGACCTCAGGATTGGTAAAGCTCACGAGACTTCGATACTCGCAGGATCATCCTCGACGATCATCCTCGTCTGTTCATTCCCTTGTATGGACCGCACCTCTGCTCCCATGCCGACACCATGATCCACCTCGATAGCCTCTCCGGCGTGTTGCATTTCGCGTGCCAGTACCTGCACATTATCCTCCCGCTCACACCCTTTGTCTCCTCAGACTGTTCTGCGCATCGAACGCCACGGGCTCACAACCGTCCCGCCTCCTCGCTCGTGGAAAGTATATCGTCGTCGGCGATGTCGTCCAGCGACCGGCTCTCCGAAGCCGAAGAAACTCCAAGCGTATCCGCCCAGTCTGGCCAAGACGTCAAGCTTGAAGCTGCTTGGGATCGACACGAGAGCTGCATCGAGTGCATGCACCCTTGGGCTGCGCAGGCGGATGTCGACCGATTCGAACGGAGGGTCTACGATGTCGCCCACCATGACCATCGAAAGAAGCTCCTTACATATTCGGGTTATTCTCAAAGCTATATGTCGAACGAACACATCCATTCTCTGTAGGCAACCTGGCTCCTAATGCACCGGGGACGTGATCTCGGCTCGCTCTCCACCATCGCCGACCTCTACAACCTCCAGGACCGTGGCATCTACCTGCACGCTCAGATCGTCGACGTGTCGTGGCCGCCGGAATTGCCGATCAAACTGCGTAACCCTGTCTTGGGTCTGTTCTTGCGAGCTCTTCTCGCGTGAATCGGCTTGCCATTCTATATGCATTTCTCGATCGACGCTGACGGGCAAACGCGCGTTCCAGGCGCCTCGTATTCGAACCTACCGATGCTCGAAATCCTCAAGGCCGGCATCGCGTTTGAACTGGATACGACCGTGCGCCGTCACGGACTTGGCATCAGTGTGCCAGTGTGCATGTACATGGTTGCTGGCGGCGAAAATTATCCCCGCGAACTAGGGATATTATCCCGGGTTTGCATTATGCTCTCCCCAATGATATCGATCTCGTGAAAAACCGACGACCATCGTCCGGGGGCTTACGTCCACAGGTTGTTCAATGACTACCCAACGCAGGACATAACCTGCTCCCGGCGCCTCCATAGGTTTTTACAACCCTCTATCTCACCTCCCGCTTTCTCTTCGTCGACTGACTCCCTATCCCAAAGAATCTGCGTTGCGCACCATCATGAGATTTTTCCCCCGATGGCCAGTCTGGGCGCTCTTCAACTCCGCCAGTGTGTTGAACGCAGCAAGCTCGAGGGGCTCGGGTCGAGCATGCTTCGTCGATAACCACCTTGTAAGTTCTGGGAATGCGAACATCGGCGCCATGGACGACGAGGACGCGGACGGGGGCGGTCCAGCCCGGATGTGGAACGGCCGGGATCGGGAGACGTCAGGTCCTCGGTGGTCGACTCTTAGCACAGAACAGGTACTGGTGCCGCCTCAACTCGCGCATCCTCCGGAGCGTGCAATATCACGTCAACGTCGGGCTAATGCCCTTGATTCACGTTACTGCGCGATAAAGCACCGGGCATGTGAAAGGTATCATGATCTTCTAACCTCAGCAACTGTACAATAGATATCATGGCCGGTGCACACGGGCTCATAGCCGTGCGGGAGCCCAGTTATTGATGAACGTGTATCATAGTGTACACGAGTCCAATATATCTGACTTGATTACCTTTCAACCCGCGCAGCTGAGTGAAGTATGAGGTACCCATTACGCCAACGTTCAATGTCATCTCGCATGCAAGACTTAGCGCGAACGCGTCCGACGCCCGCAGATAGAACGCAACTTCAGTACTAGCAGGTGCATCCGCAGCGCGGCTTGCCGTCATAGGGCCACTGCAGGGGGTACGGCAGCGGAGCCCGGGTCGTACGCCAGCTTGACCTGCAGAGCGGTGGACGAGTGTGGCTAGAACACCCTGCCTACGGGGTGCTCCTGCATCCATTCGCACAGAGCCCGCTATGCCAGGGTTTTTATCCTGCAGACGACGCCGGCCTCGTAGCTTCAGGATAGCTCTTCGAATCCAAGCTCGCGATCACTTCCCTCTCATCCTCGTCGAACGGCGCGTCGTCCAAGGGTCCGCGATGACGCAGACGCGCAATCCCGCACGTCGTTGAGGTCGCGGTGTGCACGGCATCGGCAGTGTTGTGCAGGCAGCGCAGGGAATGAGCAACTTCGTGCGAAGGGGGGGGGGGGGGGGGGCG